TGCAGTCTTGCAGGGGGGCGGGGGGTTCATCCCCACTAGTGGCGAGACCCTGGACCTGGCAAGGTGAGGAGGCGGTGAGCATACAAGGGGGGGCCGCCAGCCAAGTTCTGCCCTCCTAGAGGTCACCTTTCAGAGAAGTGGGTGAATGGGTGTCTAGTGAGAAGTGAAGAGCCATCTTAGGGCCAGTGTATCTAGAGGGCGGTCTTTGTTTAGAGACTGAGGGAGGCCAGGGAGGATTTCTGAGGAAAGCAGCGGGAGAGGAGTGGAGACACAAGGACCCCAGGGCCTCGGAGGAGGCTCGTGGATTCAGTGCCTGGGTGGGGCATTGCGCACCTGGGGTCCCTGGAGCCTCACGGCCTCTTTCCTGCCTCACCGCACCCCCAGGAGCCGCTCCCGCTCAGGGGACCGGTACAGGCGGGGCGGCCGGGGGCCCCGGCACCACAGCAGTAGCCATAGCCGCAGCAGCTGGTCCCTCAGCCCGTCCCGAAGTCGCAGCCTGACTCGCAGCCGCAGCCCCAGCCAGAGCCGCAGCCCCAGCCAGAGCCGCAGCCGCAGCCGCAGCCGCAGCCGCAGTCGCAGTCGCAGTCGCAGTCACTCGCCGTCGCCCCCAAGGGAGAAGCTGGGCAGGCCGGCAGCGTCCCCCGCTGTGGGCGAGAAGCTGAAAAAGTGAGCGGGGCAGGGCTGGGGGAAGGGGATTGTGAGCTCGGGTGAGCAGGGTGACTCCAGTGTGCTCTTTTTGAAGGGAACTTGGTCCTGTCCTGGGAGGTCTGAGGGGGCCACAGCTCTGCCCTTGGGGGCTCTGAGGAGTCATGCCCTTGCCTTGGGTCGGGGGTCAGAGGGGGACATGGCCCTGTCCTGCAGGGTCCAGGAGGGACCTGGTTTCTCCCTGGGGGGTGTTAGGGGCCCATGGCCTTGGCTGTCTGCTCTGAGGGCAGTGCTGAGGGCGCGTGAGGTCGAAGGTGGCAGCTGGTTTTTCTTCCTCCCAGGACCGAACCTGCCGCTGGTAAAGAGACAGGAGCTGCCAAAGTCAGTAAGAATTTGGAACTCGCCCGTGTAATTCCCGCCAGCAGCAGTGCCCGAGAGCTGGGCCCGGTGGGCCTGCAGGGGGGCCCGGGTGGGCCGGGAGATCCAGCCCCGGGGATTGAGATCTGTGCCTCCCTTCCCTCCTCAACTGTCCAGTGGGGCTCCCAGACCCTCGTGGCCAGTCTCCACAGCCTGCCCGTCCTCCACACATGCCCCCGCAAGTCCCAGGCTCTTGGATGAGGTGGGTTGTGGAAGCTCTGGGACACCCACCCGGTCTCCTGCCTCTTCTCCCCCTCCCCAGCCCAAGCTGACGCCACAGGAGAAGCTGAAGCTGAGGATGCAGAAGGCGCTGAACAGGCAGTGTATGTCCCGCCACCTGCCCCTCCAGGGCTCCCCTGCCCCTCCTCCTTCTGGCCTGGCCATGGGGAGGCCCTGCCCTTTGCCAGATAGGAGGCCCTTTGGGGAGGAGTGGGCGTGCACCTGCCCTGCGGCCACCACGTTTAGGGCCTTGGCAGTCTGGTTGGCCTCTCTGAGCTCAGCTTCCACATCTTGGGGGTGGGGGCTTGAGGGCACCCCTCATCACTGTGTCTCTCCCTCCCCACAGTCAAGGCGGATAAGAAGGCAGCTCAGGAGAAGATGATCCAGCAGGAGCATGAGCGCCAGGTACGGGTTGGGGTGAGGGCATAGGGCTCACACAGGGTGCCGGCCCGGCCCCACCCTCACTGCCATCCTGCCATCTCTGCCATCTCTGCCGTAGGAGCGGGAAGACGAGCTTCGAGCCATGGCCCGCAAGATCCGTATGAAGTAAGACCCCTTCCCTCCCATCTGCCTCTGGGTTGCCCTGTGTTCCCCACCACCTGCTCCGATCCAGAGCCCTGGCCGATCCCTCTGGGTGGATGAAAATAATCAAAGCCCTCGCCTGGCCTTCATGTCCCCCAGTCTCCTTCCCATCCCCAGCTTACTTCGGCCACTGTGACCTCCTCCCAGCTCCGCCAGCCTCCAGCTTGGGTTACCTTTCCTGCTGTTCCCCAGATACCCACCCTCTTCCCTCCCTTGCTGAACTCAGGGGTCCTTCCTGACCATCCTTTGTGGAGTAGCACCCCAAAACACGACATCCTCCAGCCCCACTCTGCTTTTCTTCATGGCACTAATCTGCACTTGGCATCCCAGTGTGCACTGTCTGTGTCCTTCACTCATTCTTGTTCATGTCCCCATTAAGAAGTCGGGTGTGGCTGCTGGGTTCCTGCTGTGTGCTTTGCCCCTAGAACACTGGTGCTCAATAAACGTTCGCCGAACGGAACGGTTGAACGCAAGCCAGCCCCGCGCTGGGAGCCAGGGCCTCTCCCCTCTCCCATTCTGCTCCAGTTCTCACCTTGACTCTTCCCCTACAGAGCTGAGTGGCTCAGAACCTGGGTCAGGCAGACCCGGGGTTCATTCCTAGCTCCGCCTCTCTGTGTGGCCCTGGGGTGGGCACTGGCCCAGAGTCTGAACAGACTTTGGTGCCAACTGCACAGGGTAGCTCAGGGATTAGTGCCTGTAAAGCCTCAGCCCACCCAGTACCCATGGGCAGAACTGGAGCCCGTAGTGCTTGGTGTTGGCAGAGGAGAGTTGGGCAGTCGCAGGGTCGGGTCGCCTGTTGCTTGTTTCTGGTTCCACCCTGCGCTTGCTGTGGGTCCTTGGACAAGCACTTTAATCTCTCTGAGCCAGGACTCAGTATATGAGATAGATGTAATAAGGCAGCCACCTCCATGGGGTTCTCCTGTTAAGGCACTGGTGTGTGGTTCCTGGCATGTGGGGAGGCTTGATGGTTGGAGCTGCTGCTGTTAGTTGTTTATTACAGGCACATCATGTGCTGGGCTTCCAGGGCTGCCATGTGCTCCCGTCGTGGGGGTGGAGGAGCAGAGTGCCTAGGGACTCAGCGTTGTAGTCAGTCGGACCTGGGTTCTGATCCTGCCTCTGCTACCCACCAGCTGTGCGCCTTCCTCCTGTCTGAGCCTTTGGCCTATAGATAAGCCTAAGTTTGCTTATCTACCGAATAGGGATGGAATAGTTGTCCCAGCTCTTAGGCTGGTGGGGAGGATTCCGTGAGATCAGAGCCAGGCACGACGGCACCCAGTAAACGTAGCCCTTGGGGTTGCAAATCCTGGTCCTTCTGACAAAGACCAGTTAAGCACTTAGCATGTAAGTCCCTTTGTTCTGAGGCTGTGCCCTGAGTGTGACAGGAAATTATCGAACTCTCCAGGCCTTCAGCAAGCCTTTCATCGCCAGCAGACTGGGATTCAGATGCTGGCTCTGCCAGCCAGTACCCCCCTGAGTTCAGTGCCCTCATCTCCCAGTGAGGAGAGGAGCAGGGCCTGCCCCCTTGGCTTATTCTTCCACCTGGACTAGGGCAGCACCTGCCCTGACAGGGACCCAGCCAGCCATCGAGTTCAGTTCAGTGTTATCGCCAGCCAAATGCCCACCCCTTCCCCTGGTTTGCCTCCCCTTCCCCGTGCAGGGAACGGGAACGCCGAGAGAAGGAGAGAGAAGAATGGGAACGCCAGTACAGCCGGCAGAGCCGCTCGCCCTCCCCCCGTTACAGTGAGTGTCCTCGTGGTTGCTTGGTCTGGAGAGCCGGGCTGGAGGCTCTGTGGCATTAAAAAAAAGATGTCACACTGGGTTACAAAAAAAACATGGTACATTGTCCACATCAGCCTTCTATAAATTAAAACTTTTAAGTCACACACATAACACACGGTGATTGCTTCAGTCACAAGGGACTTACAGGAATTGGAAGAAAAGCTGATTCTTAGCACATGGGTATGGGCCAAGGGGCACAGGTAGCGTCCAGCAGCGGACACGCCGGAAGCGCCGGTGCTGCCTTAGCTGGAGACACTGGAAGCCCAGCCCTGGAGCCCACTCCTGGCCCTGGGGACTTACTTTGTTTTCACCCATCCTTTCTTTCCAGGTCGAGAATACAGCTCTTCCCGAAGGTAATAAGCAGGCTGGCCCAGCTCCCTGGGAAATCACAGTTGCCCTTTGGCATGAGGTCCCAGCCCTGATTGCTCCGTCCCGACGCAGCCCCCTCCAGCCCCCTCCAGTCGTAGGGCCTGGCCTCACCCCTCGGGAACATCCCTCTCTGCAGCTGACTTCCCCATCACTGAAGCCCCAGTGGTCCCAAGCATGTCGGTGTATGTGTGCACGTGCCTACACAGCAGGGCTCCCTGCTTCCTGCCCAGCCCTCATGGGGCCTCTCTCTCCCCTTTCTCTCTCCAGGCGCTCAAGGTCCAGATCCCGAAGCCCCCATTACCGACATTAGGCAGAAGCGTGGAGGGGCAGAGGGATGACGGGGTGGGGCAAGGGCTCAAGCTGTGATGCTGCTGGTTTTATCTCTAATGGAATAAAATCACACATTATTTAATTCTCTTCACCTGGCCTCTGTGTCGTCCGTGTGGTTCGTGCAGGGCTCCCAAACCCCAGTGCCCACCAGCCAAGGCCAGCTGGGGAAGGAGCTTGGTGGGTTCAGCTGTGGCCCAGGTGGAGGTCCCACCCACGTCTGGGCATTGGACCGGAGGCTCCTTGGTAATCAGAACTCCTGCCACTCTCAGTGAGGGCAGGGGTGCGATGCGGTGGGAACGGGGCTGAGCATCCAGCGTGGGGAGGATGGGCCAGGACTTTGCCCAGGGGCCTGTGGTGACAGGTCCAGGCCTCTCCCAGCTCTTGCCTCGGCCCCTGCCCTGGCCTCGCCCATACCCACGTTGGGAACCGGGAGCACAGCTTTCGGTGCCAGTCCTGCTGTGCCCCAGGCACTGGGTGCTGGCCTTTCCCCTCACCCCCTCGTTCCAAACCGGTCTGTCCAGCTGTCCACCCCAAGGAGTGAAGCCTCCTGCCCCACCTCAGACACCCCAAGAAAGCCAGAGTCCAAATGCGTGTGTAACTGTGGGGAGGGAGGATTTACTTGCAGGGGAAGGACAGGGAGGTCACAGAAGCGGTTCACGGCGGTGCGGGGGACCGCAGGGGGAATTCCCGCGGCTCAGGCGTCCCCAGCCACGTCGGGGTGCTTCTGCCGCAGGTGCTTGTCCAGGGTGGCCCGCAGGCCAAAGGGCACGCAGCAGTGGGGGCACTTGAAGCGGGGCCCGCCCGGCCCCAGGCCGTGCATGCGGCGGTGGCGGTTAAGTTTGCTGCTCTGGGCGCAGGCGTAGGAGCAGAGCTCGCAGGCGTAGGGCCGCTCGCCCGTGTGCGAGCGCCGGTGCACTGTCAGGTTGCTGCTGTTGGTGAAATGCTTCCCGCAGAACTCGCAGCTGCCCCCGGGCCCGGGACCCCGGCTCTTGCCCGCTGGCTTCAGCGTCTTCTTGGGTGACGTCTTCTGGTTCTTCTCGGGGTCAGTTCTCTGCTCCTTGGTGTCAGCTCCCCAGCTGTCCACGCCGGGGCCCACCTGGGCCCCACCGCCAGGAGCCCCAGGTTCCTGGACCCCCGCCGTGGCGGCTGCTCCGGCCCCCTCTCTGCTGCTGCACTGGAGGATGCTGGCCGGGGTGGCGGCATGGGCGGCCGGCTCCGGAGGGGCGGCGGAGGCCTGCTCCCGACTGGCATCGGCCACGCAGGGGCTCTGGGGCCGTAGCTGCTGCCGATGGGTCTTCTTGTGGCGGTTGAGCTTGCTGCTCTGGGCGCAGGCATAGGGACACTGGTCACAGGCGTAGGGCCGCTCGCCAGTGTGCGAGCGCATGTGCACCTTCAGGTTGCTGAAGGAGCTGAGGGTCTTCTTGCACACGGGGCAGGTGGGGCTCCGCCGGGTGGGACCCAGCCGGGGGCCCTTGGCCTCGGCTTCTGGCCCCGCCACCACCGACACGGCAGCAGCCACCTCGGCCAGGCCCAGCAGCGGGGCCTCTGGGGCCTCGGGTGCTGTCTGGTAGATGGACAGTCCGTGGTCCCACTGGGCGTGGCGCAGCAGTTTCCAGGCTCCCGTGAACTGTCGGCCGCAGTGGAGGCAGCTCAAGGCCTTCAGGTCCTCGCGTTCTGCAGAGAAGAGAAGGGCCAGGGGTTAGTGTGTCAGGCAAGTCAGAGCAGTTGCTGTTCACAGCTGCCGGCTGGACACCTGCTGGGGGAGAGGCTCTATTCCAGGAGCTGAGAGGCAGCAGTAAGAGGCGAGACTCCCTGCCCTCAGGAAGCTGGTGTTCAGAGAGGTGGGTGGACAGACAAGAAGCAAGGAAAATCCGTGCAGTAGATGATAAGTACTTAGGGATTTTCTTTGTGTTTGAAAAATCTTCAAGAAAAACTTAAAAGTTAGAGCAGAGGGCTTCCCTGGTGGCGCAGTGGTTGCGAGTTCGCCTGCCGATGCAGGGGACACGGGGTCGTGCCCGGGCCGGGGAGATCCCACATGCCGCGGAGAGGCCGG